CAAACATATTTAATCCCTCCTTATTTGTTATGTACCTGTAACAAGTATGGACTATATAAAACAAAAGATATTCAGCTTGAATATTTTAATTTACATAATTTTACATAGCAGACATTAAAATCGGTATGTATGTGAATAAAGAAGCTACAGGGTGCACTTGATTGGCTTAAATGTCAATCTTGATTTTTCTGTTTTCAGGAATAGTTCATTTTCTTGTTACACATATTTCACAGTGAAAATGTCATACAACAAATATGTCAACTTAAAAATAAATGTAATAACCTATCAATTTCCTCTAAATTGCTTTAAAGTGACATTTTTTTCCATGTCTTAAAACCCTTAAGACATGAAAACTCACAAAAGTAATGTATCTGTAGCGATAGGAACTGCCGAATGCCATTGAAATCAATCATAATTTGTCTAAATCAAATTGTGCACTCGATTAGTTCAGCGTTGAAAAGTTGAAAAAAAACAAATGACAGAAAATGATTATGACAATATAATTGGAAAATTGATTAATGCATGCTAGAAATGTTCTTAGATAATACATTAATTTACATAATTGGAATACCTAAAGGAAATTTCAAACGCTTTCAACGACAAGTGAGGTTGGTGTAAATGGGTCTTATTTATGTAGGTCGGTGTGTCTATGCAATCTTCGGTTATATCGGCTTTGAAATTTGAAATTCAACAGAATTTCTTTTTTAAGCGTATAGATGACCTGACATCTTGAAAACTATCATGAAAGATCTACAGTCGAAATCATCAGTGAACTCTTGTACGAGTTATTGCATTTCAAAATCAAAAACAGAAGGAGATGTTGTTTGATAGTCGATGAGACAACTGTCTACAAGTCACAAACAGAAGAGGATTTAAACAACTTTAGACCTTTAACAATGACGGTGTTTACAAATTAATTTGTCTTTTAGTAAGACCTAGAGTAGATGAATAAAAACTGTAAACAGAAAAAAGAATGCTGCAAAACAGTGCAACCTTAATTATGCTCAATCCTTACAGGTCCGGAGTTACTGCCTTTCAATGTTGATTTTGGTCCCATTTTTCATTTTTGCAAAAAAATATAGAAGATAGAGAGTAGATATATAGATAAGTTGAAATAGCCGAAATAGTCATTCGTCTCATGTATATTGGAATTAATGCCCTTTTGTCGTTTGGAGTGTGTAAATACGTATATATACATTTAGCCACGTGTAGACGGAATCCGATGAATCGAGAAGAGAGAGTGTCAAGCTCTCCCGAAAGTTTAAATATTCAAATTAATTGAAACAGCTCTTTGGAGTGTCCGTATGTGACCTATAACTACAGTTGCATGACAAATTGTCTGTCCTTGTCCATCTCCAAACATCTGTCAGAAATTTGCACCCATCATCTTGATCGATCGACTTTACAAAATTTATCTATCGAGTTTATAATTGTTAATTTGAACTCATGAAATATTTGTTACTGGACGTTTCACAAACAACAATCATTCCATTTATCAATATTGTATATCTTGTTTTCCTCAATGTCCTATACGGCTGATTGATAAATATGACGAGATTATATATACAACATGTACAATCGTCAACTAAAGTTGTAAACATTGTAATTTCATAAACAGATGCATTTGTGAACAGTATTTAATCGAAAGCAATCGTTTTTTTTTTTTCGCTGAATAGATTGAACCATCTATTTATTCGTTCACTTGTTATACGTAATCACTACGATCAATAAAGCACTGTTGAGACAATTGTCCTGGTGTTAACATTTTTTTAGATTTGTTTCTGCTGTGTTCAATAACTGTCAAACCATAAATACTGAATTAGATGAAGAAAAACAAAATTAAATTAAAAAGTTCGAAATTCAAAGGATTTTCTACCCCAGGAATAACCTTAGCTGTATTTGACAAAAATTTTGTGTCCTTAATGCTTTCCAACTTCGTACTTTATTTGGCGTTTAAATTTTTTTATTTGAGTGTCAAAGATGAGTCTGTTGGCAATTCACGCACTTTTGGCGTACAAAATGAAAAGCCTAGATAATGAGTTTGACGATACGAGTGCTTTTTGTTTATAATATATTTACTAGTAAGACTTGCACGAATTCAAACAGAAAGGAGGCTACATGTAGGTGCTGTGAAAAGGTAACTGCATCTCCTTATATGTATAAAACATTAAAAGGATAAAATATTGGACAATACAAGATTACATAAACACATCAACACTCCGACTCCTCAGAACAAATAGACGATTCAAACAATCAAAGGCAAATAATAACAGACAACACGTAGTCTAGATAGCCTCAATTTGGACAGACAAAACATTTGTTGAGATCAAACAGGAATTACCTCCTCCTTTCGACCATCTGTCGTAAAAGAAAAACAAACGCAAATGAAAACACCTGCATTGTCTAGCTATTAACAGAATGACATGTAACTTGAACAATGAAATAAAAGACGTTACATGATTTATGAAAGAAGTACCAAAATGTACTCGCTACAACAGGAACTTAGCTAAGTTAATTCATGTAGCACAAATAGTGGCGTTCAATTCGCCGTTTCAGAAACTAATGCATTCTGGGTAATATTTTCAAAAGTGTACAAAATCAAAACGTCGTGATTGGTTAAAAGTGTCCTAAACAACAGAAATTTAACCAATAACGTAACGTTATTTTCATTTAGGGTACGAACAATAAACTTACCCATAGTCCTTTAGATTCTGAGATGGCCTATTGAGAAACAAAAACTACAATGAGAACATGTGTCCTTACATCTTCTTGTCATTTCAACCGCCTACCAATTAGCAATTATGTCGTTTCAGAATATATTATTGCTGATAATATTTTCAAAAGAGTGGATTGGATGAAAATGTGTTATAGATAATGGAAATTCAACAAGTTTTTACCAACGTGATGTTCTTTTCATTTTGGGTTACGAACAATAAAATAACGAGCTATCCTTCTGAAACAACGAGTGCTACATGTACCATCCAAATGAAAGAAATACCGACAAGAAAACTAGATATAAGTAAAGTAACCTGTTGGATATATGATTATAAACATGCCTGTTGAAGCACATTTGGGTCACATATAGAAACGCAATGATCAACAAATTTGACGTGACTGTACATATTAGGATATGTAAAGAAGTATTAGATCCGATAGGAAGTCGTATTGTCAATACCAAATGTTTCAGTGTTGGAATGTCTCCGTCTTCTGTAGTTTTTATGGTCCTATTATCATACATCTAAGGTAAACATTAACCGGTAATGTGTTTTGAATGACAGGAAGGATAATGGTGCGTTTTATTACAAGAAATGTTTATTATGAAGGTCGACACAAATGCTATCGCTGCGATTGTAGTCCATATTACATGTACTAAATAGTAACCACTGACTTCCGTTTACTATTCTCATGCTTCACATGACATGCTTCGTGCAGATCTGACGAATCAAATCTTTTTCAATTAGATGGTTTTTACGTTTGCTTAAATGTTGTGCTATAACACCACTGTTAAAGTTTAGAGGAAGTTTAAGTGCACACAAGCACCAGCTAGATTATTTATGTGTCTGAAATTTAGGCAACAGTACAAGTATAACGATATTCAAATCTCCTAAATCGATAAAGTAGATACAGTTCAAGTAGCCTGCAATTCAATGGTTGTCTGTGGTTGCTGTCTGCCTTATTTGTTTTTTTTTTTTTTTTTTTAGATTAAAACAAGCTATCGATTTTCTTTTTTGAATTATTTCACATTTTTTCATGCCGATACTTTTAATACTTCACAGTACTGTATGGTTTTTGCTAATTGTGCATAGGCTCTATTGTTATTTTCATCCTTGTCATTTGGTCATTTATGGACAGTTGTCTCAATAGAAATTATACCACATCTTCTTATTTCTTTTCTAGTATATTATTTTACTGCTAACATGGAAATCAAACTATGTTTTGTTACTACCACTGGGTCGGTAACACTGCTGTTGGAAAACAAGTTTCTTAGGGTAGGTACCACAAGCCATGTACCCATTGCTTCAGTATTGACATAAATCAAATAATAAATTCTGTCTTTAATGTTTTCTTTTGGTGAAGTATGATGGTTATAGTACATAGGCTACTGTTTCAACACCTCCAAAGATTTTTTACATTCAGTTGTAGGACTCAAAATAGATTGATTTTGAAAACATTATTCTATGTTGAGATTCTTACTTGACTATTTTATAAACTGCGTTTTGATCAGTCAAAATCGTTGTTCTTACGGTTACATATTGAACATTCCGGCACCTCTCGTAAAAATAAGTATTATTATAATTTTTGTATAATTTCTTTATTGACACGAAAAGACAAACAAAACTCGTTTCTCATCTAACCTTATTTTAGGTGGATTTATTCTTTTTCATCATGTCTTTGTTTGATTGATTGATTTTTTTCTTAACGTCTAGTGGCAAATATTACATGCATGTCCAGAACGAGAAAAACAAATTAAACAAAACAATCTATTGGTGGGTACCGGTTCTTTGAAGGGGGTCAGTCGACCGTGATGAAGGGTGGAAATTATAACTGCCATTGGAAGCTGAAGGTGTTTTGGATAGAGGCAAACACAATTAAAAAGGCCACCATTTCACCTATTACAAAGTTGCAATGGTACATCAACGTGCACACAGTGTGGCGTTCTCCCTCCATGTGGCATCAAATATATCATGGTCGTTTCAACCGGACGGGGCTGCGTATTAACGCCCCTCGTTAGCCTGGCTTGTATTGCTAGGTGGAGGAATCTAGATATGATATATTTCATACCACTTTCCTTTCTATGTATTAATCAGATATGTATATGTACTAATGTACTTAAATGTCATAAAAATTAAAGTGTATTTGATATAATTTTGAAGTCATATTCCATAACTGACCATGTTTCTTGAGCATTATGTAGCAACCAATTGCTTAACACTTTGAAATGTCACATTTTACTGTAAAAATAAGATATTTATTTCACAAGTTTAACATGTATAAATAATATTATAGACAGACATACAATATAGCCATTTTTAATATATCACATATTATTGATTTTAAAATTTGAGCATTACTTCCTCAAAAAACAATTACTGTTCAATCCGATGTCTGCCACCGCAGCAACGGAGTTAAATGTCGGCATCAGCGGATTTTTATTCACGTAACTTAATTTTCTTAGTTTGTCTATATCCTGACATGAAGCGTTATTATTTTGTTTATAGAACATTTGACTTTCAATACTAGGTCGTGTCCTATTACTTGAACAACTTTTATGGCGGCACAAATAATGTAGGCGGCCGTCTGAGTGCGCATGCGACCCACTATCGGAAGACGATCCAGATCCGTTCGATATTTTCAAAACTGAATCTCTAGTTGCAACATTATTATTTGGAAGAAGTCGCTGTTGTGATGATGTGCAATTCTTCGGACCATAAACCGTGTTCATCCTAACTGGTTTCTGTGGAAACATATATCGCATTCCACTAGGCGTCGTTGTCCCTGGATCATTTTTACTTCTGAATATTGCTTTTAATTTATAAAAAGTTGGAAATTTATCAAGATCTATGCAACATCTGCAAAACGTTCGTTTAAAGGCATATCTGAACTTTCTTGATAAAAGATTATACAGAATAGGATTAACTGTAGAACTGACGAAATACAATACACCTGAAATTAAATAAAGACAACTTATGACATTAAAACATGCCTTATGTAACATAAAACTTAAAGCATTACAAACATTTAACATATTCCAATATAATATTATCCAGTCGTTTTGTTATGTTTAAAGGCGATCACCAAAATTACAAAATTGAGTGTTAATTGAATGCAAAAGAACACGTAAAGAAGCATTGTCTTACTGATATAATTGACAGACAAAAAAAATCATTTTACGTTGCAATCTTCCGATGATTTATAAGGGGAGAGAAACAAACATGCGATCTCTAGTAACAAATACCTCTTCTGAAACTAAAGTTTTGAAGACGCAAGTCATCAATTATATCCGGTTCTCTTGGGTGTAAATGTATAATTTTCTGCATGCAATACTAGTCTTATTAACCTTATTTACAGTACTTTAGAGTTTATTGCTCAAGTCCATCAGTTGGCCTATAAATGTCTTTTGATTTGTTGCACTATTTTTGTGCTGTTGATTTACTATAGGATAAAATTGAGAATGGAAACGGGGAATGTGTCACAGAGACAACAACCCGACCAAAGAGCAGAAAACAGCTCAAGGCCACAATGGGTCTTCAACACAGCGAGAAAATCCCGCACGCGGAGGCGGGCTTTAGCTGGCCGCTAAACAAAAATGTATATTGGTTCAGAGAAAATTGACGTCACACTAAACTCCGAAACATATAAATGAACCAAAATTTAAAAAAAAAGCATGAAAGACTAACAAAGGCAAGAGGTTCCAGACTTGGGAAAGGCGCAAATATGCGGCGGGGTTAAACATGTTTTGTGAGATCTCAAACCTCCCCCTATTACTCTAGTCAATGTGGAATAAATAAACACACAGCAATACGCACAGTAAAGCTTAGTTTAAAAAAAGTCCGAGTCCGATGTTAGAATAGGTAACAGAAGAAACTTAACAAAACGACAATGATCAACATAAACTATCAAAGGACTACTAGCAGTTACTAACATGCCAGCTCCAGACATTAATTAAACTGATTGAAAGATTATGTCTTCACGATATGAAAATCAAGCACAATACCTGCCGTTAGGGGTTAAGTATCATACCATCATAAAATATACGAGAAGAACATAACCCGTATCATGTCAACAACTGGTTTTAGAATAGATGTGTTTATTTCCGATGCAAAAACCCTATGAGTGAATCAATATTAATTCCAAAATATGCCATCTTTAATGATAACACATATCACATACCGATTAAAGCTTTAAAGGTTCAAATGACTTTTGTGTAAAGTCTGTGATTTATCAAATTCTCAACCCAAACATTAGTCATATTTTTCTTAAAAAATGTTTTTCTTATTCTAATCATGCAAAATCTACACAGTGTTTATATAGTTAACGAAAGTATATTGTTATGCGGTTCCGATACCATGGTCTATTGAAGTGTATATCAAGGAAAGAAATTCTTTACAGACCAATCACAATCAAATATTTGTAGATGTGTAATTCATATTAGAATTTTTTAAGAATATTGATTTATTGTCTCCTGGCATTTATTTTTGAACCGATTCATTGCTCCGTTTTAAGTTGAAATTTCCTTTTGATAAACATTTATTGTCGTCTCGGGGGCGGATTTAGGCGGGAGCTTGGCGGGCGTGCGCCCCCTAACATTTGCAAAGCATGGGTTGTTCTCAGCTTAATAAAGAATATTTCGATAATTTTACCTCAAAAAAAATTTAAGTTTGCGCCCCCCCCCCCCTCTCATAACCTAAAATCCTGGATCCGCCCCTGGTTCTGACTTGTTCTGATCTTGAGTAAAGGTTTTTTAAGCCTTTTTTTATTAATTTGTTTTTATATTTTTGCAATACAGATGGAAAAAGGTGCACCTTCCTCAATATTTAATTTTGTTCAAAGTAAAAAATACACATAATTTCTCATAAAAACATAGTAAACTTACCTGATATATAGAATAGATGGCTATGGAATTCCATAGTTTCAGGAGTCCAATTTTTTGTGTACAACGTCATCAAACGTTGTGCATGGAAAGGTGCCCAACAAAGGAAAAAAGCTACTACAACTGCAACTATTTAAAGAAAATAATATTATATATAAAATCATAAGAAAAATAAAATGTTATCTATACATATAAATCCCATTTATTTATATATTTATTTTTTCATTTATTTTTACAAGTAAATATATATCTCTATGAGACTGTTTGAAATATTATTGTAAATAGAATATAAAAGCGCATTTTCTTAATAACATTTGTAAATTCCGTTCGTTGTTTAATGACCATTTTATATTAGTTTAATATATTCTTCAATGAAGAAAATCATTTACAAATGGCTTGTTTATTGTGTTCTATTGATTAAACAGTATTTTCTTAATAGCTTCATTATTTGTAGGCTTTTAATATAAAACGTCTTTGCGTGATATTGGCGTTTGGTGTTAACGTTTCGTTAATCGGAATGGCACTGCATTATTTCCGCGTAAAATCAACATAACAAACAATAATCATTTGCTGAACAATTCATTTGATTCCGTTTCACTTCCTGTTGCTATGTCAACTGGAAGGAAATATTAACAATAAGTTATCGTATTTTTCTATAGTTTTGTTTAAATTTGTTTATAAAAGAATTGGTATCTGAAAGGAAATAACGTGTTTTTCAAAATGCTACTAAAATTCACTAAGTATCTTTAATTTACTTAGTATCTACAATTCACTGAATATAGATTTATTGATATCTCACTTTCTTTGAGTTATACGTTATTTGTCCTGAAATCAGCAAGCTTTTGCTCAAAGAACAGGTACATGAATAGTTGTTTGCCTTATTTGTATACTTATACAATTTTTTTCATTAACATTTCAAATCAGTCTTGGGGTCTTCTTCGCGGTTCATGTTTAAGCCCTGTATATCTTATTTAAATAAAATTCAACGTTCATAATTTAAACGTAAATGTCACACAGGATACAACAATGTGCATATAATATAGGAAAATATCAAATGTAGTTGTCCTCACAACGAAACAATTGAAAACCGTGGCGAGCGTCCTCCGCATTTCTCCCTGTTTCTTAAGCTAGTACATCGATTGTGTGAGACCCTCGTGGGTAGTCAAGGACGTTAAACGCACCCAAGTAGTTAGATAGTACAAATACATTTCATATTTTCCTAAAGTGTACACATATCAAATATTTATACACTAGATTTCTAATTCAAGTTAATACCAGATATATTTTGGAAGAAGAAGAACAACTGTGTAATTTCTGATTGTAACCGTTTTATCCTTAGTTATTTTTCTATCGTTATAATATGAAGTCTTATGTCGCTTTGAACGTGTAATGTATAATATAATGTTTCTTGTGCGTTTTTCTCAATTGATTGTATACCCATATGTCATTTGATTTAAAACTTTAAAAAATGTAAAGCATTGTATTTTATGAATCGGATGAGACCTCTGATAGGCAGACAATAGTCACAATACATGTACAAATGTAAATGAAATATGATTTTTAATAAGACAATTTTTAGTCATATTATAAGTGAAGTGTTATTTATTTTTCTACGATTGAAACATTACTGAGTAATACTCGTCAATGAATTTGTATTTTCAAAGAGCACACAACCGGTACGACGTGTGTTGCAGGATCAGATTACACTTCCGGAGCATCTGAGGTCACTCCAGATTTTGGTGGGATTCGTGTTTCGCAGTCTTTTGTTTTCTATGTAGTGTTTAGTGAGCTTGCTTCTCTTTTTGCCGTTTTTGTGTCGTGTTTTGCAATATCATGGTTAGTTTTTATTCGACTTATTAGTTTTGAATGTCTCCTTTGTATATATATATATCGCCTCTTTTTTATTTTATAAATCTTGTTTTTTTTGTTAAACAGGTGTGAGTATCGTTTTAAATATACATACCAAGCATTTTTAAAACAGCTTTCCTTGCACGGGTTGTCGTGTTCTTTGCACTGGAAGTAAGAAAGCCATTAGATGATCCTATTTCAGTATTTCTAAGTCGAATACCAATCAAAATGTACATCACAGTTATAACTGTCATTGGTAAAAAGAAGAAAGCGAATGTAGAAACTTGAAACATTATTATCATTCGTTCATGCCATTTTATAGGAATATTGCAAACAAGTGTATCTTCCAATGGTAAGGATGTTCGTGGATCTTTTAAATAGTAAAACGTCCTTGTGTGGATCGGATATGGTAAGGCGACTATTCCGGATATAATCCAGATCACAATTATACATTTTATTGCTCGAGATTGTCTTGACACTCTTTGTCCTACAATAGGATGACAGATAGCAATGTACCTCTCTATCGTAAAACCTGTGATTGTCAACACAGATGCGTAGGAAGTTGATTCCAAAAGGAAAGCTTTAAAGATACAGAATGGCTCTCCAAATCTCCATGGGTACGATTCCCAAATATTGTAAACTTCTGGCGGCAATGCTGAAAAAAAGAAAGATATGTTTTAAAATATGAATTGTATTCCCATGAACATAATCATTTATAGACCGGACTCTCGATTTAAAACTACTTTGTGTTACCATAACGCTATATTTGCTCTTTGTTGATCGTTTTTGCTTTTTCGGACATATAAAAGTAAATAGACGTTACCATAACATGATAAAATTCAGCTGCCTCACATTCCATGTAATTGTTCGTGCTATATATTCTACACTGATTTCCTTGCTTACAGGGAAAAGTAAACTGCATGTTAGAAGAGTTTTCAATAAAACGCAAGATGGAAACTAATATACTGCAGGGTGAAACTAAATGTAAGTACGAAACCACAAGACGATACTAAACGCAAGTGGAATACCAAGGAACCACAGGACGATACTAAAAGCAAGTGGAAAACAAGGAACCACAGAACAATACTTTGTAATTACTTAACAGAAAAAACTTAAACACAAAACTATTATAATCATTCAATAGGAAAAAAAAAGATTGTTCATCATACAAAGTTGTGTGAATAAAAAAAAAGATGGTGGAACAAAGAGAACAAAAAAAATAAATTCGGATAAATCATTCAGTTAATAAATTCTTGAACATTGACTTCAGACGTTTTCTCAAAAATGATTTGACTTTAAAAACTACG